ATAACTATAACTATAATGATAACGATAACGATAACTATAACGATAACTATAACTATAACTATAATGATAACTATAACTATAACGATAACTATAACTATAATGATAACTATAACTATAATGATAACGATAACGATAACTATAACTATAACTATAACTATAATGATAACGATAACTATAACTATAATGATAACTATAACGATAACTATAACTATAATGATAACTATAACTATAATGATAACGATAACTATAACTATAATGATAACTATAACTATAACTATAATGATAACTATAACTATAATGATAACGATAACTATAACTATAATGATAACTATAACTATAATGATAACAATAACGATAACTATAACTATAATGATAACTATAACTATAATGATAACCATAATGATATATATACCTATTATAACTATAACAATAACTATAAACACTGCAGTTTTGTCGTAACAGGCTTTGAAGTCAGATGAATCCTGACAGGCTGAGCGTTATATGAAAATAACAATATTGTTCCTCAGTGTCACTATCGTTATAGTTGGGGTGTGAACTTCGCTATTCTTTTGCAGTTAGAACAATTTTTATGGTTAATAGTTATCATTATAGTTATACTCCATCAAGGGCATCTGACACATCCTTTTGACAACAGTTTCAGGTCATATAAAGTCTTTATTTATAGCTATGGTAGCAAGCATATTCATAATTCATAAAGAGGGTTTTTCATGTTAGCATATTCATCAGACAATACGTAAAACCAACAACATTACAGCAGCATCCGAGCGCCGGGTGTCTTATTTAGGCTGCACATCATTTGATTTAAATATTAAACTGAATTGTACCGATGCTGATTCTGACAGGAAACTCGCCCGGGACCCTACTGTTGCTATAGTAACGAACACAACCTTCACGCGCATCTGACTGACAGATAAACCGCACATTCCAGCGTCGTGTTTTATGTTGTAGATATTTCAGCTAACAGTTGGTTTTGCACATTCAGTTTAACGACATCAAGTTAAAGAGGGTGAACTTTATCATTCAGCTGAACTGTGCTCGTATGTTTGACACTTCGGCTCCCTCATGTGTGACCCTGGAACACAAACCCAGTCTTAAGTGTCAATTTTTCGAAATTGAGATGTGTACATCAGCTGAAAGCTTTCCATTGATGTATGGTTTGTTAGGATCGAACAATATTTGAAAATCTGGAATCTGAGGGTGCAAAAAAATCTAAATATTGAGAAAATCATCTTTAAAGTTGTTCAAATGAAGTTCTTAGCAATGCATATTACTAATCAAACATTAAGTTTTGATATATTTACGGTAGGACATTTACAAAATATCTTCATGGAACATGATCTTTACTTAATATCCTAATGATTTTTGGCATAAAAGAGAAATGTATAATTGTGACCCATACAATGTATTGTTGGCTATTGCTACAAATATCCCCCAGCGACTTAACACTGCTTTTGTGCTGCAGGCTCACATATGTTCTTACGAAATTACAACAACAGTGGTTACATACATCGTCAGTGTGTACATTCCTCCGCAAGCACACGTGAGCTCCGCTTTACAGAAACTCGCTGATCTGATCACAGACACAGAACAACAACACCCGGACTCTGTTTTAATCATTCTCGGGGACTTTAATAAAGCCAATCTCTCCCGTGAACTGCCAAAATACAGACAGCACATCACATGTCCCACCAGAGACAGTAATATATTGGATCACTGTTACACCACAATAAAGAATGCATATCACTCTGTCCCACGAGCAGCTTTGGGGCTCTCTGATCACTGTTTAGTTCATCTAATCCCGACCTACAGGCAGAAACTGAAATCAGCTAAACCTGTATTAAGGACTGTAAAAAGATGGACTAATGAAGCAGAGCAGGATTTACAAGCTTGTTTTGACCTCACTGATTGGAGCGTCTTTGAAGCTGCTGCCACCGATCTGGACGAGCTCACAGAGACTGTAACATCTTATATCAGTTTCTGTGAAGACATGTGCATTCCTACCAGGACTCACTTAACTTACAACAATGACAAACCATGGTTCACTGCAAAACTCAGACAGCTCCGTCAGGCCAAAGAAGATGCTCACAGGAAGGGGATAATGTCTTGTATAAACAGGCTAAATACACACTGGAAAAGGAGATCAGAGTGGCAAAGAGGAATTATTCTGAAAAAATAAAGATTAAATTCTCTTCCAGTGATCCAGCATCAGTGTGGAAAAGTCTAAAAGAAATCACCAATTACAAGACACCATCCCCCAGCACTGTGGAGAATCAACACCTGGCAGACGATCTGAACGAGTTCTACTGCAGGTTTGAAAAAACACCCCACACCCGCCCTGAACACCTCTCCACACAACCATTCACACCTCCAGCAACCCCCCTCCCCCCCAC